GGACTTCTTTTTTGGTTATTTTTATTCCAATTCACTGCCTACTTTGCTATTCATTATAAAAAACTAGTTGTAGTGTATTTTATCAGATATCCTAAAGAAACTGTCCCCTCACTCATTTCAGTTCTTTGTTATCAAAGTACCTCATCAGACTTATACTAACAATCTATGCATTCTTGTCAATTTCAAATCATCTACTCTGTGCAGCTCTGGATAATGAATAAAGATGAAAGAAGAAAAAGTATTGATGACTTTAAGACATAGTGTTGGAAAAGAGTATTTTGGCAGCCCCATAGACTGTCAAAAGAACAAACAAATATGTCTTAGAGAAAGTACAGCTGGAGTGCTTTTATAAGGCAAAGATGATAAAGCTTTGCCTCACATACTTCAGGCATGTTGCTAGGAAAGACTATTCTTGGAGAAGGACATGAACTGGAAAGTCAGAGGATTGATGAAGGGAAGCATTCCCTCAAACTGATGGATTGACACAGTGACTCCCACAATGGACATTGTGGTCTCAGAAAGTGTGAGAATGGCACAAGATAGGATAGGCTTCAGATTTGTTGTTCATAAAGTTGCTATGGGTAATATTTTACTTAATGATATTAACAACAACAATAAAAAACACCCCTCACTTTCTGTTATTTATAACAATCGTTAAAACACGACCTTTCATTAATATTTTATTTCATTACTTATGCTCTCTGTATCAAAGAGAAACTCCTGGGAAGTAAGGATTTAATTTTATTCATAAAAGCTGGAAAAGTGCTATTGTTGAGTTGTTACCAATCAAAAAGGTAATGAAAAAATGAAGATATAAGTAAAATAACTTGCTAACAAATTGGGTTCAAAGTGAGTAAAACAGATGTCAAGGATATCACCAAAGTTATATTCTCTGAACTGCAGTCAATGGTGGCACCATTAATGTAGATGAGGACCAATAGGTAAGAAGAGATTTTCATGATGAACCAATAAAGAAACTTGAAAAAGAATTGATGAGTTTGAATTGTGGTATTGGAGAAGAATATTGAATATGCTATGGACTGTCAAAAGAACAAACAAATCTGCCTTGAAGGAAGCACAGTAGGATAATTCTTAGAGGCAAGGATAGTTAAACTTTGTTTTACAAATTTTGGGCATATTACTAGGCGACTATTTGAAAAAAAAAAAACACACACCACCACCACTTGAAAAAAGACATCATGCTGGGAAAAGAAGAGAATCATAGAAAGAGAGGACAACCCTCTTGGGGGTGGAACAACAGCAACTTTAACTCAAGTAAGACAGAGATGACTTTGGGACAGGATAGTATAAGGTTCAGATTTATTGCTGATAGGGTCTCTATGAATTGTAGTCAACTTGAACAGTATCAAACAGTAAACAATAATTTGAAGTCATAAATGTCTACATTTGAGTTTTTTTACATTCCTGAGAGTAACTAATGCATAAAAGGGAGTCATTAATAGTTTACTTGAAAATGGACTTTATAAAAGAATCTCAAAATACATGTGTTTTTCTCCAAGGAATAGCCTGTCCTATCAATATGCCCTAAGTAAGATGAAACTGAATCATCATTACCTTCAAGGAGGGCTTTGGTTGCATTTTCTCCAAGACACATCTATTCTTTTGACAATCAATCTGATATCCAGCTCTCTTCTCAAGCACCACAGCTCAAAGGCATCAACTATTTTTCTGCCATCCTTATTGACTGTCAAGCTCTCAGATACATAGCAAGTGATTGAAAAGACCATGGCCTGAATAGTCCTCAAGCTGACATCACTGCTCCTCAATAATTTGAGAGGACCTTGAATGCAGACTTTTTCAATGCAGTAGATCTCTTGACCTGCTGACTGCTGGTACCAAGAGTGTTAAATGTTGATCCAACTAAGATAAAATTGTTGACCACTTCATTCTTTTCTCCATCTCTCATGATGTTGCCTACCAATCCAGTGATGATTTTGTTTTGTTTTGTATTCTTAATGTTCATTCAGAATGCCCAGTGTAGGATAAACAAAAAAGAAGATACTCAAAGAACTAGGTTAGCACAGTAGCTGTAACAATGAGTTTTAAAACAGCAGAGTTTTTGAGTATGGCAAGGGATTAAGCAGAGCTTCAAGTTGTCAGGCATAAGGTCACTGCTAGCCATTGTCTGCTGGACATTATCTAACAACAGCAACAAATAAAATATGTGCTATTCCAAATCCCTTCCCTACTTCCTATAGATTGATGCTATCTTGAGAGTCTGAAATATGTTATAGTTAACATATATACACATTATGGAAATTGTCAAGTGCTACAAATTAGATCCCTTCTTCCATCCCTCCCTTGGCCGGAGAGCTAGTCATTAAAAGTACACTTACTTGCACATGGCTGCATGAATATGAATATCACACATTTTCTTTTTAAGATCTTAAATAAATTTTTCTGAATTGTTGTAGTTGTTGCAGTGTACCATAGAGTCAGGACGGACCTATAGCTGACCCTCTGGCAGATTTTCAGAAGCAGTTAATTGAAAAGGAGAAAATTGTCCATCCTTCTCCCATAGAACGGCTGGTGGCCTGGAGCTGCTTGCCTTTGGGATTGCAGTGCAGCTTATTGCCACTAGGCCAAATAAGCATGTAAAATATGTGACATAGTCCATAGGAGTTGCTTTGCTCAACCATAGACTCATCATAGCCTCTCTGGCAATTTTAATCCTTCAGCATCTTTGAGGAAAAGAGATGGAAAATCTTCTCCTCTGAGACTTTTATCCTTGTGAAAGCCTGATGGGAGGGGGTCTGCTATGAGTCAATTCCAGTGCCAAGGCAATGAGCTAGTTCTATAATAATATTACCTTTAAAATGTAATACTTGTCTTAATGAGATAATATAGGTTGAAATAAACAGAAAATTGCCTTGTATTCAGAACTATTAGCCTATTTAGCCTCAACTACAACACCACCATTCAGGTCAACTACTAGCCTATTTAGCATAGTTTTATAAATTAGAAAAACAACTACAAAATCCGTTTTCTCAAGATTTTTATGTTGTTTATGACATTATTGTAATATACTGACTCTAAGGAGCTGTGGAGACAGTTCTTAGTTCCACTGGTAACTCAAAGGCTGCAATTCTCCAGCAGGTCAATCCACTGGCAGCTCTGGTAAGATAGGTGGTATTCTCTCGCCGTGATTTATAACCTCCAAATCCAGAAGGCCAGTCACTTTCTGTCAGAGCCCACTTGTGGGTAGTAAGAGACTAGGAATATTAATTCTTATTTCAATCAAATATAATTTTAATTATATGTAATAAAATATCTTCCATGACATTATAAAAATAATCTATATTTTCGTTTTCTTAAAAATATTGTATTAGAATTGTGAGTTCCAATAACAAACAAAACCAAATGTTTTATTTACATGAGTATGTATATAAATGCCTGACTTGGTCACTTGCTTCGCATAAAATTCTTCCAAAAATGCAATTTCTTTTTAATAATTATTTTTTTCAGAAGTAGATCATACAAAACAAATACAAAAGTGAGGGGTTTTGGTTTTTTTTTTTCTATTAGCATTATTATTTTATACAACAGAATTAAGGGAACCCATCAGGAAAAACTCTTACCTGGGGCCTATACCTCCTGAGCAAAAAGTAATGACATTTTCTTCTCATGGGAAACAGATGGAATTAATAGAATGTGCCTATTGTTCTTATGCATAATTCACTAATATTTCTGAGACCTTTCCAAAAGGCTGCCTGTGTAAGCTGCACAGGAGCAAGAGAATATATCACTGCTATAGGTCTCAAGTTGAAAATAAATTTTGCTTGCAAATCATACCTTGCTGCTCTGTACTATTGTTTATCAAAGTATCTGAACTAACTTGTCCATCTTGTACTTCATAAGGGGGGGAAATGTATTTAGGTGTGATTATATGACTTTAAAGTTGTCTCATAGTATTTATCTCTGTACAAATTCACATGCACACACAATGATCATGAATATGGCACATGATCAGACAACATCTTATTCTGCTATACAGGAGATCGTCATGGGTCACAACAGACTGAATGACAATGTCTGTCCATCCTATCATCATGTTTGTGGGATTCTAGCTGCATGAAATGAGCAAATACTATGTTGATCATTTCCAAAGTCAAAGAGGTCTTCCTCTCCAAGAATATGCGTTGTTAGAGTAGGAAACAGAAGGGGGAAGAATCCACTTTCTGTCAAAAGTTGGAGATAGTGCCATTTTGGGGGCTATGAATTGTAGATATTAAGAAATTCAAGCTGGATGCAGAAGAAGCCATGGCATAAAGGATTTTATTGCTGAGGTCACAAGGATTTTTGCAAAAAGGGAATATCAGAAGGATATTTACTTGTGATTTATTTACTATGCAAAGGCATTTCAACATGTAGGTAATAAATTAATGGTAATAAAGAGAAGACTAGGAATCTCAGAATATTTAATTCTGTTCTTGAGAAACTTATAGCTAGACCATGAAGATGTTGTCCAAACAGAATAAGGGAACACTAAATGGTGTAAAATCAGAAAAACTATACATCTGGGTTTTTTATTTTCTTTATAGATGAGAAAATGATATGAGAAACTGGGCTATTATATGTTGCCAACCGCAACCCTTTACAAATTTTCTGGAAGAAATGAACATAAAGAGACAAACGCACACAGAAGACAAGACAGGACTGCTGCAAAGAAAGAAACACACAGAAGAGTCAAAAAATTGCAGCCGCGTGGGTCTGTGTTCCTTTAATTTTATAGGGGTAGCAGCAATAATCTCATGTTCCATGGTTTCCATAGAATCATAATAACTGGATACCGAAACAATCATGCAAGGAAGGGCATACAATCTGTTCTTTATGATAGATGTTGCTCTTTACATGAAAGGAGTTAGGGGACTGAGGTAACTAAGATATTTTCTTAGCAGGAAGAGAGACCTCCAAGTTCCCAGCCCGTGTGCCCGACAAAGGACAAAGGTTTCTCTTTAATTATTAAACCAGAAAGTTACCCGTTTGCAGGCTGAACTTTCAATGACCCCGAAACCCACCCGCATGCAGGCTGGCGTCCGGTCCTCCTCAATTATATGTAAAAGAAAGTGGTGTGGCATTAGGGTTGAAGAAGACTCATCAACAACTTTTATTATATAATTAATAGAACATTGCTTGCTCAAACTGAGGAGAAATTGACACACCTATTACAGAATATCAAAGACTACAGCCTTCTATATGCATTACATTTCAACATCAAAAAAGTAAATAACTCATGTTCATAGCAGTGTTATTCATGACAGCAAGAACATGGAAATAGCCCAAATACCAACCACAATGGAATAGGTTGAGAAATTATGGTGCATTCACACAATGAAATACAGCACACAGGAGCGGTAATTTCGTAAATTATTACCTAACATGGGAGGGACTGGAAAGCATTATTCTAAGTAAAGTAACTCAATCTCATAAAGACAGATACTGGATAAGACCATAATTACAGAATGAGAATGAGGATCCAAGGAGGGGCCAAAGTGTTTAATCATAAGGTGATGGGTGGGAGAAGCATGAGTAAAGGAAAGGCGAAACATCTAATGTAAAAAACAATGTATATTAATTTCTAAGTAAACCAGTATAAAACACACAAAAAACAAAAACCAGGGGAAAAGCAGGAAGAATTCCATTATTAAGATGAATGGTATCAATTTTACACAAGATAATGTGTGTGAATTGTTGAATGGAAAACCAATACACTTTGTAAACTTTTACATAAATCACAATGCAAAGTAAAAACAAACAAAAAGAATGCTTCTCCCCTCCCCCAAAATAAACAGGAAAAAATATTTAGTACTAGAGCAATAACCAACATTGTGATAGAGAAAATATTAAAATTGGTAATGATTTAATTTTACTTGGTTCCATAATCAGTACCTCAAGAAATCAAAAGATGTGTTGCATTGGGAAAATCTACTGTCAAGAACCTCTCCAAAGTGCTCAAGGGCAAGAATATCAATATAAAGCCCAATATATCAATATAAATCAGAATATCAATATAAAGCACCTGAAATCAAGACATTGTGTTTGTAATTGCATCTTAGGCATCTAAATTTGGACAGTGAAGAAGAACCACGACCTTTGAATTGTGCTATTTGAGAAGATAACTGAATATCCCATTGGATGTCTAAGGTTTATCATTCAGAGTTCTTCTCTAGCCACTGTTTGTTTCTTTTGTGCTGAAGTAATTATTGTATTAAGAAGAGAGGAGAAAGATGAAATATAAACCTCATACTACTAGACGCTTATGCCAGGAGCCTTTTTCTTTCAGAAAACCTTGCTTGCCTAGGACATAACCTCCAGTTGCTCACCCGTCTGTACACCACCAGTCTGTATCACCCACAGTCCCCATCCAGCCATGCCATAACTGATAGATTACAGGATCTTGGTCCATTGCTCACCAGTTTCTCCAAAATCAGCCTGTTACCTATGGTCATGTGAACCATTCCATTAATAGGTCTGAGGCTCTGGGAGATCTTCTAGCTAATTATCGAAATCAAGGTACATAAAGGAGCTAGGAAAATGAGAAAAGGAGGAGTTATTGATGTCAGGAATCATGGACTTATACAATAGGTCAAGTATTTGAGACTATCTTGACCTGAGACTTCTTATAAATGGTCTGCTATTAGTCTTAGCCGGACAAACTATCAAAACACCCATGGACTGCTAACAGAGCGAACAAATCTATCTTGGAGGAAGTGCAACCAGGATACTTACTCCTTCAAAGCAAGCATGGTAAAACTTCATCTTACATGCTGCCAGGAGGGACCAATTCTTAGAAGAAGATATGATAAGGAAAGGTGGAGAGTTAGATAAAAAGAGGAAAATTCCAAGATATATTGAAATAGTGACTGTTACAATCAGCTTGAGCCCATTGAGATAGTGAGGATGGCATAGCATAAGGCAAAGTTCAGAACCTTTGCTCATAGTGCCACTATGAGTCGGAGGCTACTCAATGACACCGAAAAACAATAGCAGGTAATTGCAAACATTATGTGGTATTCTACTATATAAATTAGATGGTGCTTCATTATATTTTATAGCTCTCAGATTTTTTAAAAGTCACTGCTGGTTCAAAAGTAAGAGTCTCATCATTTATGTAAGAGTTTTGGGTTCAGTTCCTGTCCTATTCACCTCTTGTGATGCCACCATTTATATGTCATAGAGATTTGCATATTTTTCTAATGCTGATCAGGTTGCACCAGAGTTTCCAAACTTGGACGAAAACCTGGAGATCAACTGAACATAGCCACTCACAAGAGTTTATAAAATACAGTCTTTTGTACTTGTTGTTATGTGCCATAGAGTGGTCTCTGACTCATAACAACCCTAAGTACAATAGCTCTGAACCCTGCCCTATACCTAAGCCAGTCTCACTGACTCCAACACACCTAATCCCACTGCCCCAGTTACCGTGTCAATCCATCTCCTCCAGGGTCTTCTGCACTGTCTTCTCTCCCTTCAGAGCATGATGTCTTCCTCCAAGGATTGGTTTCTCCTGGACACATGCCCAAATTATGTGAGACAGAGCTTCAAAATCCTTACCTCTAAGGAGAAACTTCATTTCACCCTTTCCTATTTGTTTTCCTGGTGGTCCATGGTATGTTCAAGACTCTTCTCCAGCATCACAACTCAAAGGAATCAATTCTTTTTCTGTCATCCTTAGTCACTGTCTAGTTCTCTGATGCACAGCAAGTAATTACAAAGACTGTGGCCTGGATCAGGTACACCTTAGTCTTCAGAATGACATCAACACTATTTAGAACTTTGGAGAGTTCCCTGAGAACATGCTTCCTCAATGCAAATTCATCTTTTGATTTCTGAGTGATGGTGCCAAAAGTGTTGATTGTGGACACACATGATATTAAAGGAGTGAAAAAAAACAAAAAATTATCAAATTATAATTCCAATTTTTCAGAGTTATCATAGTAAAAATAATTCTAATAGATTCACTGATAATGAGAGGTCTCATCATTTATATGTTCATTTGTGATAATGTAATGCTGAGTTGAAAGTGACTCAAAACTGATCTTCTTGTGCATTTTCTCTTCATATTTTAATTAATTTCATGGAAGAAGATGGCCCATACATTTTCCTGTGAAATAGCTGCTGTACTTTAACTGTGTGCCTTTTCATTGTCCGTGCAACCTCTTACTATGAAGTTACCAGAGGATCTGTTGGCTTTATAGTAGGCAGGTATTATCTCTTGCTCTGGGATCTCAAAATATCTTTAAGTTGTTGTGAATGCATTTCAAATTATAAGAAAGTTTAAATAATTGTAAGCAAATAATTCTATGACTCCTGCATTTTCCAGAAAGCATGCTCAAACATTAAAAATATCACTTATGTTGAATAAGAATTCTTTATTTGGGGAGAATTTATTCACCTTAGGTAATACATGTTATTCCTTCCTTATTTGAAAAATGTCCTTGGGCTTGGTTACCCATAAAGTATTGCACATATGGGGTGAATTTTTAGAGAGAAAATCACTAGCACCTGGATTGTAGTAACATTCAAAATGTCTTTTGTGTGTTTCCAACTGGCAATATTTCTGCTTATATGGAATAAAGACTTTTAAGATGAAGTCCTTTTGCTTTACCCAGACAATTCTATCACTCTTATCACCTTTCTCATCCCTATCTCATGCTTCTTTAATCATAATAAAATTGATTTTACTCTAAGTTCTACACTAAGCCCCTTTGACCTATTTTTTCCATTTTCTATTTTAGTTTATTTACTAAGCCTCATACTATATACCTGAAGATTGTCCTCACCTATTCTTTTATAGGATATGTCACCTGATACTACACTTTTGGATATAAAAACTACTGAACAAAATTTGAACTCCTTTTAATGTTTGTAATTAGAAAGATAGAATTTTCCCCAATTATCAAGTTCCAAATTTTAAAACTTTCAGCATATTAAAATATTCTAGGTTCCCCTTAGAAATTCTATGAACAAATAATGCATAATATTTTATCTCACCCCCCTCCCCTAGGATTCACTTCCAGAAATAGGAACACATTTGGTGGATCTTCAAAGCTCAGGAAATTTGAGAACTTAACCAAAAAGTCCTCGAACATAAAAAGCTTTCTGTTCCATAGATCCCTGGTATTGATCACATCTATTATAAAGTTTCTCTATTAGGTTTCTAAACTCTTACTACTTTTAAAAATATTTGCTTCTAAAATGAAAAACAACTATATTATGTTTAGCAAGATTTTACTCACAACTCTAATGCATATTTGTTTAAATATTTTGCCTTGTGGCTTACTACTCGTATCACTGCCAACTCCTTAAAAATGAGTTCCAAAGTTTCTGTTTTAATAAGCAGATTAAAGATTTATGTTTCTATAATCATTAAAAAAAGTTTCAGGATGATACACTTGATAGATAAAATGTCTTAAATTTCTTGTATAAATTAGTATCAACAAAAATCCCCTTCTGGCCCTACTGGGTACTTTTAATACCATGGACCTCAGAGTCAAGGAAGTGGAGAGGAGCATTATGTTATCAGGGCTAGACCAGGGGCAGCGCCTGTCTCATGTTTTGAATCTGCAAGTTGCTGCTCCTGAAAAACATGGGCGATCACCTCCTAAACAATTTACAGCCTCAGGAACTCAATGGAGGGTCAACCATTAATTGGTTACCACTTGATGGAAAAGAGTTTGAGATTTGAGTATGTAAAGTTTTCATTGAAAAGGACATCAGTGAGTTTCAAAAGAAAGGGGGGGAAAATGGAACAGAGCTAGCAGTGTTCAAACTCTAATAGACGATGATAATTTAGATGTATGATTTTAAATTAGGCAAAAGGAAAAGTTTACAGAACATTCTCATGACTGTGAGTTCTTGCTCTCCACTCTGGTTTTTTTCAAATCTAAATAAATCCTAGGACTACAGTCCACTGGCTAAAGCTAAAGAATGGTCACTGAGAAATATTTTTCTTCTCTAGCGACACTACTTTACAATATTTGTTCTACCTGAATTAGCCAATGAATGGCTTGTTTCCATATGTTTTCCTTTACCTAATCTTTGCAGTTGTCAGGAGAGAATATTTTATAGTGTG